ATCAGCCCAAGCTTCTCCACAGCTGCAGCTCTCACCAAAAGGGCAGATTTCAACTTTATATTGCCTAGTGGTGAGTGGTGAGGAGGCTGCTGTGTCAGCCCATGCTGAGGTACAGCCCTTGTGACCCTAATTGGGCCCGTAGCAAGGATGTGGCAGACCCTTGCTACCGTGGCCCTGCTTCCAGTTGGAGTCTGGGGTTGAGCCGGGGAGTCACATCCAGGTCTCTCACAGAATACCAAAAGCCCTATATGCACAACTGGGCATTAAAGCAGCTGCACCCTCCCGGACTAACTGTCTGCCCCACTAATCACATGCCCAAGTTTCCTCTATTTTTTGAAGAGCCAGAATTGTGATGTGGTTTCTCCTGTTTCTGATTTCTCTCCAGAATGTGGGAGTTCAAATACTTCCCCCCAGCACCGGCCACACTGACTTCATTTCTGCTATGCTGGATGGGATGCTGCCCGTCAGACCCATGTGTGCTCAGGCATCTGGCAAGTGGCTGGTGATGTTCCTGAAGAAATGCAGGGGGGACAGTTATTCCCAGAGGTAAAATAGACACTTTCTCCCTTTGGCTTCAAGTTTCCCATCTCAGCTGCTGCCAGGCACCGCGTGCCGTTGGTGTGGGCTGAAAAAGTGGTGCAGACAGCCAAGGGCTTTGTCCGACCTGAGTGCAAGCAGGCATATTCCAGACTTCTCAGCCTGGTGACACTAACTCCCAGGTCATTCCTGTGACTGAGGCACTTACAGGTGAGATGTCCAATCTTCCCAGGTGCTCCCTGTATCCTGGGTGGGTGCTGAGCCCTCCCTGCCCCTGGGCTGTAAGGGTGACAGCACCGACTTCTGCGACAAGGAGGTGGGGTGGCTGCAGCGAGTTGTTGGCACCCTGAGGCCTTCCCAAGGAGGAACACTATGTTGGCACTGGGGGTTTCGTCCTCACTCCTGGCACTGCAAAGTTTTTAAATACATTTTCTAACACAATCCCCTTATTTGCTCTTTCTGTGTTGGTCCCCAGTTCCACGAACTTCCCAAGTTTTACTCTCTGTTTGGTGCATTTTATGACATTGTGTACCTGTTCTTGGTTCTCCTTGTCTTCCCCGAGCATGGCTGTTCCCCACAATCCTGGGTCCCTTGGGCTGCGTGGCCATCACCCTCAGTGGCGGGAAAGACCAGCCAGTGTGCCTGTGTCACTGTCGGGGGGCCAGCCCCATCAGGAGAAGCTGAGTGTTCCCACAGGACAGTGACCTTATTTTTGGCTTTTCTGATCCCGGTCACAGTTTCTAGCTTCAAAGGCCCAAGGAAAGGTCTTCTACAGAGGGGAAGGGCGTGGGCGTGGGGAAAAGGAGGAGGCTGGAGGAAATAAAAGTGTCCCCAGAAAGCTGGGGTCCTCTGGAAGGGAGAGTGAGTACCTTATGCAAGGGATCAGACTGGTGCATCTGAGTCGGTGGGACAGGCGGGTGTGCTCTCTGTGTGTACAAGGGATTCCAGTGCCAGCTGCTGGGGTGATATTTAGGGCTGCATCTACAGAAGTTGTCAGGGGAAGTGGCATTGCACCATCATGTCTGGGCTCTGTAAGAGGATGGGGAAGTGATGAACAGAACAGCCCTTTTTGTCTTGTTCACTCAGGGGCCAGAAATCCTCAGCACTGTTTACATCCAGATGCTGATGATGCAGCACGATGCGTTCTGACACTTCCTGGTCGTGGTGGTGTCTGTGCTTGTCCTCGCTCACCCTGTGGCCATCCTCAGTAGCCTCCTGCAGACACGGCTGCCCCTGGACAGGTACGTGTCCTGCCCCAGCCCTGTGGGCAGGCAGGGACCTGCTCTCTGGTGGGTGGGGAGGAGTTGGTGAAGATGCTGGTCCTTCTCCTCTGGGGAGAGAAAGTCTGAGTGTGGCCACATCCAGCGTTCGTGTCCAGATCCTGACCCCCCCAGCTCCTCCAGGGCAGGGAGAGCGCTCGGCTGTCTTGGGAGCATCACAGGTACCAGAGCCCATGGCCTGACGGGTGAACTTCTGCTCCCTTGCAGTGACATGATAGCGCCGTGGCGGATCCTGGGGAGGAAATGCTTCATCCTAAAGGTTTTAATGGAAACCTTAAAGAACTCAGGCAAGGACAGACTTGGGACCAACTCTGCCGATCTGAGGCTACTCTGCAGTTGCTCGGTGCGTTTCTGGGCTATTCACTTCTGCAGCTTCTTGTCTGCCTTTCTGACTAACTCTTCATCCTGAGGGAGTCTCAGGGCATGCTCTGCATGCCCATGAAGCCCCCGGGGTGCTGTGCCAGCCCTGTGCAGGGCTGGCAGCGGGGACTCCGAGGCAGTTTACAGCTCCCAGCCCACAGGGCTGTTGCAGAAGGCCGAACGGGCGGACGTGGGCTGGTGGGAAAAGTCCTTGGTTTCACTGGCTGTTTCTGTGGAATGTCTCTACAAATCACCCATGCCACCTCCGAGGTGGTGTCCGTGTGATGCAGCCTGGAGGCTGTCACTGTCCTGCTACAGCACATCAGTGCCACAGGGGAGGGGAGATGCGTTTTTCCCCACTCAGCCCCAGGGAAGGCTGTTCCTCGGGGGACACATGAGGAACGGGCATCCCCGCGGGCATCCCTGCAGGTGGAACAAACAGGATGGGAACCTGGGCTGGGCCTGGCTGCCCAGCGCGGGGTTGTGTTTGCGCTGACACCAAGGCAGCACTTCAGTTGGCTCATCTCCCAGGGGCACGGATTGCTCAGGGTGGTTTTACTTCCATTTTTTTTTTTTAAGGAGAAACTTTGACCCTCTGGGAGGAAGGTGTTGCCCAGCTCATAACCGCTGCCTGCTGGGGCCTGCCCGCCCATGGCTCTGCCCCTCCAGGTCCCTGCCTTCCCCTCTGTCCCGCCGCCCACAGCAGAAGGCCCCTTGGCAACTGGTGGCTGAGGCTGGGGAACTGGTGCAGGCTGGGCGGCTGGGAAGGGGGGCACTTCCATGGGGCCACAACCTGACTTGTTCGTTTGGTCCGTAGCTGCCTGGGGAGGTTTTGTTTTTCCCCTCTTAGCCTTTGTTTATTTTGGCTTGGGTTTGTCTGTTTGCTTGTACCTGCCGTTTGGTTAGTGTCAGCTTTTTGATCGCTTTGGTTTCTGTTGCAGTTTCGGCAGTGCCGGGCTCTGGGGGATCCCCGCTGCAGGACTCGAAGGGCCGAGGACCGTCCCTGTGTCCCCGGGCGTGCGCGGGTCACGCTCCCTCACCTCTGCGCTGCCACGGCGAGACGTTGCACGGGTAATTCTTGTCCTCACGAGGGCGCGAGTGCCAGCCTGGCTCACGCGTGGGCCAGCCGCGTGTTGCTGGTGTGGCCAGTGAGCGGGGGGGGCTTGAGCACGGGTGGGAAAAGGGCGGTTTGCTCGTGGCTCTGCAACCGGGAGGGCTGGGACGTGCCGTTTCAGGGGCACCTGGGTGAGACGAAGCCCGAGTGCGGGAACACCCCGCGAGGGCTTTGGGGTTTCCCCCCAGGGTTTGCGCTGAGCAATGGAGGGGTGGTGCTGCCCACGGGCACCGGTGGGCGGGGGGGGAGGGGCTGGGGGGGGGCCGGTCCCGGGGCGCCTGCGCGGGAGCCGGAAGCACGATCAGAGCGGTGGCGGCGGCGCCGCCTCGGTTCGTGTGTGAGCTCCGAGCTGGGAGGCGGCGGGAGCGGCGCCGGAGCAGGTGAGAGGCTGCGGGGGTCGTCGTCCCACCGGTGGGACTGGGCTCTGCACCCCCCGCTCCGGGCCGGTGGGCACAGAAGGGACCCGGGGCCGAGCGCTGCCCGGGGGGAGCAGGGGCAGCCCCGTCCCGCCGCGCTCGGGCCGGGCAGCTTCTCCCGCTCTCGGCGTGGGGCGGGGGCGGGGGGAGCTCCTGCGACCCCCGGGCGGGCCCCGGTGCCCGCGCGGGCGAGGAAGGGTCCCGGCTGCTGCTGCCGGGGGTTCCTGGAGGAGGTTTGGGGGTGACAGACGAGGGGGGAGGTTCCCCGTGGGGGAGGACGAGGGGAAGGTTCGCCGTGGAGGAGGTTGGAGGGTGGGGGACGGACGAGGGGCGAGGTTCCCCGGGGAGGAGTTTGTCTGTGGAAGAGTTTTCGGGGGTGAGGTTTTCCTGGGACGAGATTTGAGGGGAATGATCCCCTCGAAGGGGTTGCAGCCTTCCGTGCCCGGTTGGGCTGTGTTCTGCAGTGGCCTGGGCAAGGCTCCCCACGGGGGGGGGTCTGCAGCTGCTGTGCCCCACTGAGGGTTTGGGGTGTGGGGCTGGTGTGGTGCAGGTGAAATAAAACCTAATAAAGTGATTCCCTACATATGCTGGTGCTGCCCTACAGAGACAGAGGGCTAAACCCTCACTGCAGGGAGTGGTGCCTCCATCCCAGTTCCAAAGCACTCCCTAAAATTGCAGCTGGGGCCCCTGAGCTGTGGGTGGGCTATATTCTCCCCCAACCCTTCACCATCACATCACACATGGGGTCAGAAAATAAGATTTCAGTGCTGGGTTCAACCCCCCACATGGAGACCAAGTGCTGTGTTTTGGGTGCTTGGACACATGTGGACAGAGAGCTCAGAAAAGGAGTAAGTCCTGCATTTTCAGCAGTTGAAAAGGGAGACAAAGTCCTGGATTTGTGGAACAGAAAATGGAGATTAAGTCTTGCATTTTCATCTTCTGGAAAGAGAGACTGAAGTGCTGTGGTTTTGGGCACTGAAAACAAGTTATGGGGGCTGGTTTTGGGCCTCAAAAGCAGAGCTCTCTCTTTCTGAAGCTTAGAAAAAGATTGAGTCATGTGTTTTCAGCAGTTGAGGATACAGGTTAAGTCCTGTGTTTCTGTGACCCATCCTGAGTGGTGTGTTTTGGGGACTTGAAAACTAAGGCTCAGCTGGCTGTTTTCAGCTCTCAAAACAGGGCCCTGGGGAGAATGCTGGGTGGGAGGTGGTGGTGGGAAGGGGGTTGTTCTGGTCACGTTGGTCCCCAAAGGCTGGCATGCACCAGGCTGAATTAAAGGTGCTTTGCACAGTGTCCTTGGGTGTCCAGCTCTTTATTCAAGGGTTGTACAACCACTCAATAGTTATTAACTCATTAGACCATATTTAGACAATGTACACATACGACAGGTCATATTCATATACATGTTATGACAGTGATTGATTTATGACCCTGCCAAACGCCCAGATTGCTGTAATTAGCTGGAGCTTTACTTGGCTTGTAACAAGGAGGATTTAGTAAACCAGAGCGGGGGCATCTCCGAGCTGGAGTGTCCATCAGCAGGAGCACCTCATTAGCCAAAGTTGGTCCTGAAATTACCTCAAGCTGCAGTGTCCAGTAGCTAGAACTGAAATTACCTGAAAGTGAAACAAGCAGCAGGAATTTAAATTACCCAGGCTTCAAATACCCTGAGCAGTAATACATTGGAGAGTCCCTCAGCAGGAGCTGTAATAAGCAGCAATATCTCTCAACGCGAGTGTCCAGTCACATCTGGCAGCTGGGGCTGTGCTCCCAGTGCCACTGGGCAGGGAGCATCTGCTCTCCGTTGTGAGGGAGGGCTGAGCTTACCTGCAGCTGTAAGGGGAGTGAATATGAGCAGGAACACCTTGTGGCCGGAGCTGTAGCAAGCTGGGGGGGTCTGTCAGCTGGATCTGTACTCCAAGGCAGGCACAGGCAGGGCTGTCCCCAACAAGATGCTCGCAGCAGCAGGGAGGTGAGTTGTCTTTCTGTGAGCTGGGAGCCTGGCCTCTTCCCTCAGGGACTCAATCCATGCCTAGTGCCTCTCTCTGGGCAGAGGGTCTCTCCTAGTCCTGCTCCCAAGGGCCAAAATGCGTGTGGGGGGCCCAGATCTCCTGGGGTGGGTAGGCACAGGCAAGGCAGCTTCGGTGTCTCCTCTGCACCTGCGTAAGGGGAGCAAAACCGGTCGGTCAGAGATCCAGGGGTGCACAGCACGGCCCCACATAACTTGTGGGAGATGCCTGTCCCCTCCCAGGCAAGGACAACCCATCCCTCCTGCCTGCCCCTCGCTTTCGGCAGAGGCTGCCCAGCACCACACCTGGGCGACGGGGAGGGAAGGGAGAGACAAGGGGAGAGCTCAGAGCTCTGCCTGAAAAAACCACATTCCTCCCCAGAACAGCAAGTGAGAAAGCACGCCTTGCTGAAACCCCTCTGCTCTGTGAGGAGCACTCCTGGCACAAAATGACACCGAGCAGTACCGGGGCTGAGGATGGGCTGTTCCTGTCCGGGGCCCGGCCTGGCACAGCACTTGCCACCCCCACCCAGGAGCGGGACTTTGGGAGCCACAGGCTGTGCTTTTCCCAAACCCAGGGCTAAACATCAAACAAAGCTGAACCAAGCCAAGCGGGTTTCAGGAGGGGCCAGAAAAAAAACAGGAGCCCCCCCCCGGGGGGAGCAGAACAGGGCTGGTGCTCTCCCGGCCGTGGCTGAGAGCCGCACCAGCACTTGCTGGGCGGTTGGTGATGGTGTGGTGGGAAGCCATTCTGGGACAGCTCTGGCACAAGAGCTTCTCCCCCCCCCCCCCCCGCAGCGACCGGTCCCAGAACCGTGGGGCACAGCCCTGGCCCCTGCCCAGGAACGCCACTGGCACAGCCCCAAACCGCCCCGCAGCAGGACATGCAACGCAACCACAAGCCACAAGCAAAAATGTTTTCTTCCCAAGCAACAGCCAGGCACAATGGAGATGCGAGGTGCAGCCGTGACCCTGACCCCGCTGCCAGCCCGGTGGCGGTGCCAAGCCCAAACTGCGCTGCAACAGGACCGGCACCAGAAGCCACACGCGTGGCCTGTCCTCCTCGGGCACGGCTTCCTCAGCCCGCCTGCGGTTAGGGTGTTCCCACGGGCCTGACCCTGACACACCCCCAGAGCACGGCGTGGCCACCTGCCTGCTTCAGAGCACTCAGCAGACATTTCCTCCCGTGTCGGGGCCGTGCTCCTCGCCCTGGCTGAGCCTTCCTGCCGCCCGGCTGCTCCCTTGCGCTGTTACCTGCGCTGAAAAATCCCCTTGTGAGGAAGCGGCCGCAGCTCTCGCTCCAGCAGTAGCCCCCAGCCCACACCACAGCCCACGCCGAGGCAACAAGCCTCTCTCCCTTTGCCCTGATGATCGGCGGAGCCTTGGTGCGAATGCCCCTCCCCGAGTCGCTGCGGGTCTGCCGAGCCCCGCGGGGACGACCCCACGGCTGCTCCCACAGTAGCGCCCCGCAGGCAGCAAAACCTTTTCGGAAATGCAAACTCGGCTTTTAAGAAGTTTAAGGGCTAAAGCTGAACCCTGTCGTTCAGTGCTCCCCCCTCCCTTTCTCCGCACATGCATCAGGGCCAGGTCTGCCCTCCCCAAGGCCGGGGGCCTGCAGTTTCCCGGGCAAACAAACCCCGGTGCATCCTCGGGAGGCTCTTCCTGGGCAGCACTGGAGGCTTTGCTTCCTTTTCTTCCCCCTCCCCTGGCTGCCGGTCCCCGCCGGCTCCTTCCCAGCCTGACCTGCCGCTCGGTTGCTCTCCCGGTCCTCCCGCCGCTGCACGGGGTGAGCCCGGGCGGGGCCTCCCGGTGCTAACGCTGCTCAGCGGCAGAGGCGGGCAGTCAGCAGCCTTTCCCCGGGGGCCCCCGGTGCCGCCGGGCGGCTCCGATGGGGGAGCCCCGGCCCTGAGCAAACAGAAACAGGTTTGGAAAAAAACAAAACAAAACAAAAAACCAAAACAACCCACTCACGGACACAGCTCCGGGTCACCGCTCGGTCCCTTCCTCTGTCGGGTGACACGTTTATCCCTTGCAGAGGCTCCTCGGGGGCCCCCGGCGCGGCCCGGGGACGCACCCGCCGCCCTCACCCCACCCGGGGCGCAGGCGCGGGATGCACGCTCGTGGCGCGCCCCCTGGCGGCCGCGGGGGGACGTCCCTGCAGCTCCCCCTGGCGGTCGACCTGGGAACTGGCAGCAGCAGCAGCAGCAGCGCGCCGGCGCGGCGCCCCCTGGCGGTCAAAACGTGGCACCGCGGAACGCGGGGCGCCCTCGCCGCTCTGTCGCCCCCTGCTGGCTCCGGGTGGCGCTGCACGGTTCTGTGCCCCGCCCCCCCCGCCGGTGGGGGAGGAGCCGCGCCCACGGCCCCTCCGCTACACGCCGCGCGTGGAGCACCCGGCTACCCCCCCCGCCCGTGCCTACGCGGCCCTGCCCGCTCCCCGCCGGGGCGCGCATCCCCTCCGCCTCCGCGGCACCCGGGTTGTGTGACTCGGGGGGCACCGACCCGGGGCGGGGTGCGGGGACACGGGTGGCATCGCCCCTCAGCCCACGGCTGCTGTACGGAACCCGCTCCCACGCAGCACCCGGCGCGTCCCCCAGCCCCCGCGGGTCAAGGCGCCCATTGCCGGGTCCCGCTGTAGCACAGGGAAACGTTGACCTCGCCCTCGACACGCTGGCCGGGGCTTTGAGCATCCTGGCGGAGTGGAAGGTGCCCCTGCCCGTGGCAGGGGGCGGGGACTGGATGATCCTTAATGTCGCTTCCAGCCCAAACCAGTCTGTGATTTTATATTTTACAGTCTGACTTTTCCTTTCTTTCACCTGAGCAACTCAGCAGATGCAGGGCGCTGCCGCAGCATCGAGTGGCCAAGCCCGCGGTGCACTGCGCGCGGGGGCTTCCCCCCCCCTCCCCGCGCTGAGGAGGGGAGCTGACCCCCAGAGGGGACACCGTCCTGATCATCCAAACAATCACCTACTCCATAGCCCAAGTGAACACCCAAACACCCATCAGCTCCTGCCCCTGCCCTCCGGGCAGAGCACACCCGCTCCGTACCAGCAGTGGGCAGGTCACGGCCACCAGCAGCTGCCACAGCAGCTCTCGCCAGTTTGCTTATTTGGTCCACGAGGACAAACACGGTGACAACACGGTGCCCAGAGCAGCATTTCTGTAGCTGCACGCTGGGACTCGCCCGCTGGCACCACTGCAGGGCCCAGTGGGGCTGTTAGGGTCTCAGCGGGGGCTCGAGTCCCACCAGTAGCTGATGTTTTGCCAACTCTGGGTTTAATTCCCGTACCTCATCTCTCAGGGGAGTCAAGGATTTCGAGGTTATGTAAAGTTCTGCCATTAAAACTGCGCTGATAAAGTAGCCTGGATGAGCACCGCATCTGCATCCACAAAAGCTGCTCTCAACTTTAATTCACACAGATGCAAAAATAAACACACCCCCCCACACACACTGTACTTCACACTGTTCCCACTTGTCAGGAGGAACAGCAAGTGCTGCAGGGACAGTGTCAGAAGCACCATTATTGAGATGCCCCATTTCAGCCCGGGAGACACCAGCCAGAACACAAGTGAAAGCTACACTGCCATCCCAAGCTCGTTTTCTTCCCCCTTCAAGAAGCTGAATATTAACCAGACACCAAGTTTTCCCCAAGGATTATCAGGCAGCCTGCCATCTTATCCCATCAGATCCAATAAATCCACTTTTCCAGGCTGCATCTCCCCACATGAAATGCAAGCCCCCAGTGATCGCCGTGACTGCAAGGGCCTTTCTAAAACAACATCCACAACATTTCTAATGGTACCTTACCACGGGCTCTGTCTGCGTGTGGTCACCGCCGAGGGAACAGGCAAGGCTGCTGCAGCACTGGCTGTATCCTTGCCTTCTGACATCTTTCAGCTGCCCCCGAGCACTTCCTCACTTTATCATCTCCACTAAAAACCCCCCAGCTATCACTGCAGTGTGCATGTGGGTTGACTTTTACCTTGCTCCATCTCAACAACATAAAAAGAAAAAAATGTACAGGCTGATCGTGATGCAGTGCCATTCACAAAGCCTAAATACCAGCTTGGGTCCTGACAAACTGTGCTCTTGAACTATTTTAAATATGCAAGGCTTCATGGCTCAAGCACAACCAGGTCCTGGCTGACCTTGCATGGTTTCAGATACCGTTATCTCTGCCAGCTCCTCCCCAGCCCCAGATAAATGTGGCTTCCCAGGCCTCCGCCACTTACCTCATAAAGCAGCAGGAAGGTCCGAGTGCCGCAGGCCCTCAGGAGGCGGCACAGAGGGGATCACATGGGCATCACGTTTCTTCAGGGGTCTGCGGCACCGGCAGATCTCGTGGCTGTTGAGGCCGCTCCTCGGAGGAGTTTCTGGTGACTTGGGCTTTGGAGTCTTCTACGGGATCTTGTTTTTTCATTCCAGTATTTCAACTCACAAAACGGTGCAACTTTTCAGACGCTTCCCAACTGTCAGTTAGCAGAAAATGCTGCAGCCAAGATGTGCACTCAGCAGAGTACTTCAAGACACAGCAGCCAGTAGCTACCAGGAACTTCACCCAGAGCAGAACAGCTACGCATGGACACCATGACTCACAGTTTATCTACAAGCAGTGTAAGAATAACCCTTTTACCAACCTTTTTGGGTAAATGCTGGTAGTGGCAATGCCACCAAAGACAAGAAGGGAAAAAAACAGGGATTATCTTGCAGTATGACAATCTGTTCCACAGTACCAAGAGCAAGCGACACTCTAAGTTGAAAACAAGCACCTCCAGATTTGTTTCTTTCAGACAGCTCATGTTCCTCCCAGCGCCACCACGGCGCTTGCTCGGGCCTGGCGGGGCACGGGGGAACCCCACCTGGGCCACGTCGGTGAGGAGCTCGTGTCCTCCCCGGGCCACACGCACCCCCAAGGTGAGCAGAGCTGCAGACGGAGGGGACCGACCCGCACCGAGGGCACCGCCCTGGCGGCCGCCCGCGGCACCCACACGCCACGTCCAGTTTGCTCGCCCTTCAGCTCTGGAAGCGGCGTGACCCAAGCCAGGGGCCCTCGCAGGCCACGGCGGGGCCGGGCGGGTTCTCCGCGGCACCGGCAGGGTTTCCGGCCCTCGCGTCTTCTTCAGCCAACGTCCCAGGAAAGGAGTCCCCAGCGCCACGGCAAACCGGAGCTTATCGGCTCCACTCACATCGAACGCCTCGACCAGAGAACGTGACGCTGCACTACTACGGCTTCCCACCGCCACCTGACAAGCCAGCAACAACGTTCTTACAAAAGCATTTTCTGTATAGCAAGGGATGACACGGTGCTCTACAGCAACCTGCATTCAAGAGAATTAGGGACATGGATAAATGCTGCAGACATCAGTAGTTTATTGGTATGTTTAGTCAAAACACATTCAGAATGGAAACTTAAAAGTAAAAATACTTTCCACCTGCAACAATTAAACTAGAATCTACTAGCATATAATGCTTGACACGTTACAGCAATAAAGATGGTAATCCACTGTCTTGTATGCCTACTAAAGCCAAGATGGTCAGCCGAGTTTGTTGAAATAGAACCGTAATGACAAAATACTCCCACCATCCACAAATCAGCAACTAACAGTAATGGTCAGTGAATCCCTTCCTTTGCTCTAAGAGGTACATTTACTATCGAGAGGGTCGAGAACACGTAAGAGTCCACAGTACATCAGGTGAGCTATCACCATGTAAACTTCTCTGGATGACGTTCCAATGGTTGTTCGTGTTGCTTAAACAAGAAGCCAGAAAGCAGAATGGCTCAGTAGCTCTTTTTAATACTCCGGTTTTTGTTGTTTAGATTATTCCCAGTCCCATTTGCCATACAAATGGATTAGGTGGCAGCAAAACACCACAGCACTACAGAAGGAGGGAGAAAAAAAAAAAAAAAAAAAAAAAAAGCTACACAAAACAAAAACACATTGGTGGCAAACTGCTAAGTGATGACAGCAATTTGTCCAAAGGCTTCAAACCTAAGTAGTGGTGTTGTGTGGTGAGCAGTTCAAGTACTAGAGATTTCCAGGTAACAGCTGAAAATGCAAGACCTTCAACAAAAAAACTGAAATATGAGAATGGAAACTGGTAGAAATGTGCCCTGGAAAAAAAGTGTATGAAAATAGTGCAAGACTTACCATCGAACACAGAAGACCTCGAGTTTGGGAGAAAACAGACAGATGCCACTTCACTTTGCCTAACGTATCAGAAAAGTATGTGCAAAATCCTCCAACTTACTCGAAACCAGCAAATGATTGCATAATCCAGAGACAGATCGCTATGATGCCCTATCTGCTTTTGCTTCGAAATCACAATTCCTTGAGGTCTCCCGTGCTTAGAAGCAGCTTTAAGCGGTCACACACTTCTGCACAGACACACAGACAGACCCCCCCCCCCTTCTCTCCTGGCGCCCGGAGCCAGGCGCGTGCTGCACGCCCCGCCCGGGCGCCGCGCCCTGCTGCCTGCCCCAGCTGCCGGCCGGGAACGGGCTCCAGAATGGCCTCCAGAAACAGCCCTCTCCACCCGAAAAACCCACCAGTCAAACTGAAGAAGAGGATGTCTCCTTTCTATCCTTCCGTCCGGAGCCACACGAGGGTCAACTTCAGCTGAGAGTTATGTGCAAAATGAGTAAGAGTTTTTAAAAAAGTGCAACTGGAAAATGCAAATACTTAAGAGCTGCTGTTTTGTTCTCTGAAAATTGCAGTATCCTCGTTTGATAAGCTCACCCTCACAAAGGATGCTCAGTTCTACCGATTACGAGCTGGCCAAAAGCATTCACCGTTCTTGTCTGACTTCTGAAATTCACGTCCAAGAGATTTCAACTCCGTTTTCTTTAACTTTGACAATGATTAAAGAGAAGAAACAACCTGGAGACTACTTGGATGCCTTCTTCCTCCCTTCCCCCCCTCTGCAAAAAAATAGGCGAACTTGTTAATTGAAGAGCAAGGTGGATCATAATTTTAGCAACGTTTACTGATTGAAAGATACTGCAATTTTTTTTTAATACAATTTTTCAATGATTTCCTTTAAATGCTTTGCAGCCGATTGGCTTTGCAGCACAGTAATTCATACACTATACTGTACAAAATCACCAGCAAGACTGGAATGATGTATTCATAGAA